GCAGGAGGGGAAGGTTACCCTGAGTGTCTTAAAAAGCGTCGAGGGGGCTGTCACCCCCGCCGACAGCCCCACATCGACCCCCGTCGCGGGCAGCCACCGCGCGCCGAAGGCGTTCCGACCCGCGTCGCGGCGCGACGACGAGGCGAGGTTGACCCCACGCTTATTAAGAAACCCAGAGTAAGCAGGCATAAGAGGACAGCAGTACAGGAAGACGACGACGGGGAGGTGACGAGGATGAGGCAGACGAGGAGGAGGAGGAGGAGGAGGAGGAGGAGGAGGAGGAAAAGGGCGACGACTACGGCGAAATGGAGGAGGGGGACGGACGAAGACGACGACGATGAAGACGTCGAGAGAAGATGTTGATCCTCCTCTTCGTCACCCTCATACTCATCCCCCCTTCTTTCCCCGTCCTGGACACTGACCATCGTCGTCGTAACCTGGCGTCTCTTCCTCTTTCTCGCTCTCCTCTTCCTCCTCCTCCTCCTCCTCCGCCTCCTCTTTTCATCAGCATGCCATCGGATGAGCCTGTTGCGTCGGAGATATCCTCATCATTGTCGTCATCATCATCACCATCAGCAGCAGCAGCAACCGCATCATCATCATCATCATCATCAGCATCATCATCATCATCATCATCATCATCATCATCATCATCATCATCATCATCACCATCACCATCACCATCACCATCATCACCATCATCATCATCATCAGCATCATCAGCATCATCAGCATCATCATCAACATCATCATCCCCTCCCTCGTCCTCCTCTTCATCCTCGTCCTCCTCCTCGTCCTCGTCGTCCTCGTCACGCACGTGCGCTGCAGGAACACATCCGCAGCCTCCATCCCCATCGCGCTGGACGAGGCGGTCAGAGACGGCCAGGTCAAGCCAGGCCCCCTGAGAGGGGAGGAGACGAACGGAGGGAGGAGGAGGAGGAGGAGGAGAAGGAGGAGGAGGAGCAGCAGGAGGGGAAGGAGGAGGGGAAGGAGGAGGACGAGGAGGAGGAGGAGCAGGGGATATGTTTGCTTGTTGTACGACTGCAAGCTGGAAAATCAAAAGGCACGGCGAGGCCATGAATTATACGCTTGGATGCGTGACGTAAGTTCCCAAAAGCATGTTGAGTAATCCGTATCAGCGGACATGAGTTCGGTGAATACACCATGTGACGTCGTGAGGTGCGGGTACAGTGCTGCAGGCGTACGTGCGCCAGCAGAGAAGGCGAACAGAAGAGAAGGAACTGGCCACGAAGAAAAGGGAGGGGCAGCCGGGTAGAAGCAGCGGAGCTCGAGGAGAGGAGAGGAGAGGAGGAGGAGGAGGAGGAGGAGGAGGAGGAGGAGGAGGTGCAGGAGGAGGAGGAGGAGGAGGAGGAGGAGGGGGAGGAGTAGACGGGAGGAGGAGGCGGAGGCTGGCGGATGCAGGAGGAGGTGGAAGATTATCCCAGGCTCTTGTTGGTTTCCGCGGATTGCAAATGCCTTACGGCCGGTGTTGCCGACCCTGAACGGGGACGACGACGACGACGACGACGACGACGACGACGACGACGCTGAAGTGGGCCAGAGTCCTCAGGGATGCTTCTTGGGGTCTCTTCGGAAGGCTCCCAGGGGCGTCTGGGGAGCCTCTTGGGGGTGTTGGCAAATATATTGGGGGTGATTCCTCCACGCCTAGCTTTCTTCCTCGGCAGGAGAACAATCGCGTCCTGGAGGAGAGAGCGGGCTCTTCTGCACCTGGGCGCAGCGCCTTGTCCACGACCTTGTAAAGTTGTACGGGCAGTGCCGTTGCATGCGGTGCATGCGCAGCGGCCTTGTTCCATTCAGCCTTTTTGCCAATTGCGAGGGCGTGGGCAGACGGCACAGGCTGTAGACTGTGCACCATCATGTGTTCTGCAATGCTTGTGGCAGCTATTCTCGTGAGAACGCCGTTTCCTCAGCGAAGTCTTGCTCTGGAGGCGTCGTGCGAGGCTCGGCCGCGGCTTTCCGACTCACCCGGTTGTGGGAGTCGCGAGACCTTCGGATTGGCCAGTCGCTCGCGGGCGATCGGCCAGTGTCGTTAGGTGCGCTCGGAATTTGACTCTCGCTTCAGAGACGCCTTGGGTCATTCCGGCGAGGGTCGAGGGGATGACAGCGGCGCTCCCGAAATGTCCCGTTAGGCGGTCGGCTCTTGCCGTCTCGCTGCCTCCTCGCCCCCTCGCTCCCTTTCCTCCTGACAGGCCCGCCGAGTCCATCCAAGTCCCCCTTCCCGACGTACCCTCTCGGCGAGAAGATTCATTCATTCAGTGCACAAGCGGCCTTGAGGTAATAGGCCGCGCAAGCCGAGCTCAGCACAGCAGGCATTGCCCGCCTGGCAAAAGCTCCTCCTCCTCCTCCTCTTCCTCCTTCTTCTCCGCCACCTCCTCCTCCTCCTCCTTCTCCTCCTCCTCCTCCTCCTCCTCTTCCTCCCCCTCCTCCTCCTATTTTCTCCTCCTCCTCCTCCTCCGCTCCTCCCCTCCTCCTCTCCTCCTCCTCCTCCTCCTCCTCTCCTCCCCCCCCCCTCCTCCCCTCCTCCTCCTCCTCCTCCCCTCCTCCTCCTCCTCCTCCTCCTCCTCCTCCTCCTCCTCGATCCTCGATCCTCGCGCAGACACATCACCCACCGAGCCCCCGAGGGCCGAGGGCACAGAGCTTCGCAGCCGCGGGACGCGAGGCCGGCTCTGCTAGAGGGCGCCGCGCGCGGGAGGGGGCCCCGCCGCGGCGGGCCGGGGGCGGGCCGGCGGCAGGCCACGTGATCGCGTGCTCCGGGTTCGGCGCCGGGCTGAGCTGGGGCGGCATGCTGCTGCGCCTCTGAGGACCCGACGCCCCCGGACCAACACCCCTCTGCGGCGCGGCGCCGCGGCGGCGCCCCCCTCCTCCGGACTCCCCCGCCCTGCTCCCTCCCAACCGTTTTCCCCTTTTGTGGGCCTCCTGGGCCTCCGGTGCTGCCACCGCGGGATTCGCCCCGAAATCCTGGTCAGAACGCACCCCTGGAGAGGTCCGGGGAGTAGCGGTATGGGTATCTGTTGGTTTCCCCCCACCCACCCCTGCGCCTTCCCATCCCTCCTCCGCCTCAGCCTCCGCCTCCGCCTCCGCCGCCCCTCCCCCCTCATTCTCCCCTCCTCCTGCTCCTCATCCTCCCGCCCCTCTCCCCCAGCCGCTGTCCCTTATTGAAAGCTCCTCCTCGTCCTCGTCGCGCCGCCGGGCGTTTCGCTCAAGGCTTCCGTGCGGCCTACGACTCCGAAGGGGTGACATGTTCAGCTAATGCACGGACTGCACGGATGGAGAACGGCCCGTTTTCAGGATGTGGGTCCCGTACTTGCGCCGCGCGCGTTCGCTTTCCCAAAAACTACCAGAAAGGAGAGCCGCCCACACTTGTTGTGTGGTTCTCGTCTCAGCGCTGCGAGCATATGTGGTTTGACAGCTTCCAGCAGCTACGAGAATGGAGGGCAGCCCGTTTTGAAAGCGTGGCTTTTGCCTGATACCTCTTGTGCCAAGCATGACCAGAGGCGATAACATGTGCAACAGCTGTACCAATGGAGGGCGGATTCTTTTAAAAGTGGAGCTCCTGCTGAACACGTATTCCATGCAGGCAACCAATAGTTCGAGTTGACACAGCAGTGAAACGCATGGAGAGCGGCTCCGGTCGAGACTCCAAGTTAGATGGCCAGCTGCTTAACTTCGTGCAGCAGCTTCGCCGAGAGGCGACGACTCCTTTGCCACATCGGGTGTTTGATTCGCGCCCGCTACTTCACACGGCCCGACCTCGTCGCAGTCCGTATGGCGAGCAGCTCGCAGGGCCGTTCCTGGTCAAGACGAGGCGCTCGCCAGAGTGGCAGGCCCGTGGTGTCGCCAGCCTTCCCTGGAGAGGGGGGGAGGGGGGGGGCGCGTCCTGCCGTGCAAGAAAAACAGGATGCCTGCAAGGACGTTCGGGGAGGGGGCTCCTGGCGGGAGGGCGTGCTGCAGCCCCGTGGACGCCTCTTGAGTTTATTATGGTCCTTGCGCTCCCCCTCGTCGTCCCCATACCCCGCACGAGGAGGAGGGAGGAGGAAGGAGGAGGAGGAAGGAGGAAGGAGGAGGAGGAGGAGGAGGAGGAGGGAGGAGGGAGGAGGGAGGAGGGAGGAGGGAGTAGGAAGGAAGGAGGGAGGAGGGAGAGGAGGAGGGAGGAGGGAGAGGAGGAGGAGGAGGAGGAGGAGGAGGAGGAGGAGGAGTCAATTTTCATCTCGCCCATCTCCCTCGTCCGATGGGGTGGGTCCTGGCTGCCGCCCGCTGGGAGGAGGGGACAGATGAGAGAGGAGAAGGGGGGGAGCACAGGCCGCAGGAGCGAGGGATGCTCGGAATGAGGAAGGGAAGGAAAAACAGGGAGGAACGGAAGGGCATGGGAGGAGGAGGAGGAGGAGGCCAAGATTTAGAGAGGGGGGAATGGAGGAAGACGAGAGGGAAGGGCAGGGAGGGGAAGGGAGGGAAGGGGTGGTGGAGGGTGAGAAGGAGGAGGAGAGGGGAGCCGTTCTGGCTCCGAAGTCTGCGGGCGAGGAATATGCAACATCGAACTTCCGAACGGCGTTGCTGTTGCGGGCCACGCTGGCGCGCCACCCTTTACACTCGTTCACGCTGTCCATCTTGGGGCTTCTGAGGAGGGGATTGTGACGCGAGGGTGTATTGCAGCATCGTTGGTTCATGTTGGGTCTACTCTGTTCTTCCTCCTCCCCTTTCTCCTTGTCATCCTCCGTCCTTCCTTCTCGGGGTTTCGGAGAAGACCCTGACTGCATTGGGGCCTCTTCCACCACAGCTAGACCGGTTGAGTGCATCAGAAAGGCATTCGTGCTGTTCTTCTCTTCCTCCTCCTCCTCCTCCCCGCTCCCTCCTCCCAGCCATCATCCCTTTCCTCCTTTTTCGCAATCGTCCTCGCCACATCCCTTCGGGAAAGAGGCAGGCTCCAGCTGCCGCAAAGCCTGCTGCGCCGCATCCAGGCCCAGTTGGGCGTCGCTGTATCGGCTCGAAGCTCCAGGGGGGTGGGGGGGGGCCTGCGCCCAAGGCGCATGCAGGCCCGAACTCGGCGGGGGGGAGCGCTGCACTGGTGAAGCAGGGGGGACCAGACAACGGTGACGACGACGCCGACCGCGACTCCGGTGAGGATGACGACGGCGGCGGCGACGGCGGTGACGACAACGGCGGCGGCGGCGACAGCGACGGCGACGGCGACGACGGCGACGCCGACGCCGACGCCGACGCCGACGGCGGCGGCGACGGCGGCGGCGTTCGCGGCGGCGACCACGCCACAACGGCCTGGCGCTGGCGTCTTTTTGGGGAAGGGCGCAGGTGCCTAGGGGAAAACAGACAGTAGGGGGGCCCATGCCAAGAAACACCCTGCTTGCCTCCAGGGTGCCCCGGGTTTTTTGGGTTTCGATGGCCTTGCGATGGAAAGCGTGGCGATCCCACACCAGAGATCAATGGACGTCCTGGGGTTCCAGGGCTGGGTTTCCTGTGGAAGGCGTCTTGTGGTCGGGCCCCTGCTGTGCTCCCCAAGCAGTGCTTGCACTAGGGGGGGTGCGCTTGGCGCGCCCAGCGGATTTGCAGGGTGCTCTGGGCTGCCGCCTCGTGCCCGGCCGTGGGGGCGATCCGTGGGCGCCGCGCGCGCGCTGGCCGGGCGTTCCGTGCTCTCGGGTGTCGAGCGCGTCGTGGGCGCTGGCTTGGCGTTCCCAGGTGTTCCGGCCCGTGGGCACCCCGTGGGTGCCTCGTGCGCTGGGAGGAGGCGGAGGAGGAGGAGGAGGAGGCGGAGGAGGAGGAGGCGGAGGAGGAGGAGGGGGGAGGAGGGGGGGGGGGGAGGGGGAGGAAGAGGAGGATGAGGAGGAGGAGGAGGAGGAGGAGGAGGAGGAAGAAGAGGAGGAGGAGGAGGAGGAGTTGGATGTTCCAGGTGTTGGCCCCGTGCCCACCCGTGTGCGTCTCGTGGGCGCCTCGTGCGCTGGCTCTGGGTGTTCCCGCGTTTCGCCCCGTGCCCGCTCATGGGTACTTCACGCACGCGCACCTAGCTTGCATTTCACCTGAAGAACTGACTGGTTGGTTGTCCGCAGCGCCAACGACTTGGATTGCGACGTCCAGGTTGCATTATATATGTATGTATATATACATACATACATACATACATATACATATATATATGTATGTATGTATGTATGTATGTACGTATGTATGTATGTATGTATGTATGTATGTATGTATGTATGTATGTATACACACATAAAGATATGTGTATGTATGTATATATATATGTATATATATATATATATCGACAGTTGTGTTTGGAGGCGGCTAGGCGCTCTCAGGCCTTCTCTGCAGCCTTCTTGGTCCAAGCCCACTGATGCAGTGGGTGGCCGACCAACTGAGTGGCGCGACACCAGCAGTGCTTGGTGCCATAAGTCGGGCGGATGATGTCGGAGGCGACCAGCTGCGCGTGTCACTTCGATTCGAATCCGCTGGACGAGGGGCTCTTGGCCATCCTTCGGGCTCAGCTGGACCGCTGCGGGCCAGATCACTTGCACTGCCCGCCCGCACCAGCGTGCGGGCCGACGGCCAGCAGTTTGCTGGTGGCGGCGGGGCTGGTCGTGCTGCTGGGAGTGGCGACCACGCTCGGGCTGCAGGTGACCTTGGCGGGGCGTGAGCGGGCAGCGACGGCCACGTCCACAGGCTGTGGGGTTACACCGAGCGTTCCGGCTGTGACGCCGTCCACGCTCCGTCGCTTGCGTGATTGCGACGACGCTGCACATTGAGATCATCCAGATACTTGTGGGGTACTCGACGACCTCAACATACAATGGCATCACAGGCTGCTGTTGTACGAGAGGGCCCTGGACGATGGGTGGGGGCAACACCCGATTTTTCAGTGCAGGTGCTAGACGTGACAGCCCACCGCGTGCTGCCCTTCGTGCGCTCCGCGCCGTGGCCAGTCCAGGTGCGTAGCAATGTGTACGGTTTCAACCCGCTGCGCGCGGAGACCAGGTGGCGCGGGCGTTCGGGCACCAGCCGGCGGTGGGCGCGGCCGCCTCGGCAGCGGACCGACAGCGGCGCGTCTCAGACACAGGACACGAGAGCTTCAACGAGGTGATCCCCGACGGCAGCATGCTCGGGGACCGCGCCGTGGTGAAGGGCGAGACGGGCCTCAACCTGATCAACCAGGAGTCGGGCGAGTGGGTCGCGGCGCAGCGGGTGAAGAACCGAGACCTGGACGGCTGGCTCGAGCGCAAATGGAGCGGGCCAGGGCGAGACCTTCGCATCCTGCTTGTCCACCGCGACTCGGGCGGCAAGAGGGTCATGCTGCTGCGAGAGTCAGCGAACCTCTTCACCGACCCGAAGTTCGCCGACTGGCCGTTCGAGGGTCCGTTGTCGGCTCGCGAGTTCATGGCGGACGTGGCGGCTGCAGGGCTCGAGCTGCACCTGTACCCGACCTGGTGGGAGAGCATGCGCGAGGCGAACCCGTCGGGCAGCGTCGCGCGCGAGGTCAGGCTCGCCTTCGACTACCTTCGCGCGATGCAGTCCTACGACCAGCTGAACATGCAGGCCCTCGCGTCGGTGGAGCTGATCTGCCGCCGCATCATCGTGTGCCAGCGGGCCGTCAGACGCAACCCGAAGGCGCCCGACTTCACAGGCCTGGAGCGGCTCGCGCAGTCGAACTTCGACGAGCCAGGTGGTCTCAAGACGACGGAGCTCGACAAGTACATGGCCGAGCAGCAAGAGACGAGCGCGACGGTGCTCAAGAGCCTCCGGCAGGATCTCGAGGAGCAGGAGAACGAGAGGAAGAGGCAGGCCAGTCGCAACAAGGGCGACGGCAAGCCGGGCAAGGACTGAGGTGGCTCGGGGGCGCAGCGACGCTCGAGTTGTCATCGCGGGGCTCGGGCTACAGCGCTGCACCCCGACCACCGACGACGAGTGCGACCTCGGCTTACCGCGAAGTTTTGACGTCGCCGTGCGGCGCGCCCCCCTTGCCACTACCTCTTCTGGACGACGGTGGCGACGAGGGTGATCGGGCGGCCCCGCGTCGCCCCCCGACCCGTGCCGGCGCTGAGCCCTCGGCTGCCGCCCCCGCCGCTGACGCGGCTGCGGCTCTGAATGGCTCGGCCCCCATCACGCGTTGGTCGGCCGCTGCAGCTGCGGCGACCGAGGCCCTCCAAGCAAGCGGTCACATCGGCCCAGCAGTCGATACTTGACCGAGTCGTGGAGCGGGCGGACGACCACTTTCCCATCCCTTCCGACGCTGACTACTCCTCCGCGCCTCAGGACCTCCTGAAGTGCACCGACATGTACTCGACAAGCGACGCTGCCAGACGGGCCCCGATCCAGCTGGAGCGACTGAGAACGACACCGTGCCGAAGGAGATGTTGGGCGTCGCGGGGGCCGACGCCCGCCGGCTCCTAGCCGACCCCTGGAGGAACATCGAACGACGAGCTGATGAGGTCGAGGCAGATGGTCCACCTCCACGGCCATGCTCCGACCCCCAGCTCCGCCAGAGCCGCAAGCTGCTGAAGGAGCTCGTGCTGACCCGGCACCGCGGCGGCCTCGCGGCCATCAGGCCGTCGGCGAAGGCGTTCATCGGCCTCTCTACGGTCATTAAGAAGGACGGCTGGTGGCAACGGCTCATCGCGGATGCCCGCGTGCCGAACCACTGGCACTGCCGGCCGCCGCACCCCTACCTGGCGACGCCAGGTGAAGCCTCGACGCTCGACCGGAGCGACGCGGCGCTTGAGCCGGGAGCTGCGGCGGCCATGGAGCTGCGCGGCGCGGCCGTGGACCTCCAGGACGGGCTCTACCAGCTGTGCTTCAAGGCGACGAGCGACTGGTTCGGCATCGACTGCCGGATGACCGCCGAGGAGACCGAGATCACGGAGATGTACGATGTGGTGGACGGCGTCGGCACATGGCTGCCCGTCGCGGCCGACGACGCAGTCTGGCCCTGCCTCTGCGGCGTGCCCATGGGTTGGACATGGGCCTTGTTCATCCGCCATTCGGCTCTCACAGCCGCCATGGTGGAGCCCCCGGCGCGGGCGATGCGCTGCGAACGGAGCTCGGCGGAGGCCCAGCTTCTGCGAGACGGGCGGCCCGCCCCACGGCTGGCCGAGGGCCGGCCCGTCGCAGCGCCGCGCGTCGACACCGGCAACCTGCTCTGCTTCGACCTGGAGGACGCCAAGGACTCCTACGATGCGATGGCGGCCGTGCTGACCGAGCGTGGCTTCACGCTGCGGGACAACGCGGAGTGCGACCCGAACCTAGACATTGTGGAGTTCGAGCTGCAGGGCGCGAAGTTCTCCTGGAGGCAGCGGCGGTCGAGGTTCTGGCGGCTGTGGCATGCGCTGCGGCAGCTGGAGCTCCAGGCGGGCTGCACGGGGGAGGTGATGCGCATCGTGCTGGGCCACCTCGCGAATTTCTTGATGCTGGCCTGGCCTGCCCCGAGCGCACTCTCGCGCCTGCATGGGCTCAGCCGTCAGGAGCCGACACCGACGGCAGCGCTGCCCCGCGGCCTTCTGCTCGGACGCCTCCACGAAGGGCTACGCCATCCACGCGGGCGTCGCTGACGAAGGCGAGCTGCGCGACGTCTGCCAGCGGCGGGGGCGCTGGAGGTTCGCCGACGCCGAGGACGATGAGGGGCCTGGCCTCTCGGGGGCTCAGACCGCGCTGGACGCCGATTTCCTCGAGCTGGGCAGGGGCCTGGACGCGGAGGACCTGGCCTGGAGCTGCGGGCCGAGACCGCCCTGCTCGGCGCGCGCCCCGGGCAAGCAACCCGGCGCCCGTCGACGCCACGAAGGCGGTCGAGGCCGGGGCCCAACATCCCCGTGCGACCAGCATCGCGCCCTCGCTGCCCGACAGCACGGCCGCCGCCAGGCGCTGGAGGCGCCCGCTGGTCGGCGCTTGGGAGAGGCACGAGGCGATCCACATGAAGGAGGAGAGGATCGCGCTGATGGGGTTCTACCATGCGTCGCGTGACCCAGCGAGTCACGGCGGCGTAGTCCTGTCGCTCGGCGACAACCTCTCCGAGGTCTTGGCCACAGAGCGCGGTCGGGCGCACAACCCTGCTCTGAACGTCATCTGCAGGCGCGCCGCCGCGATCGAGCTCGGGGCCGAGGCGCTGCGGGTTCGCCGCGACATCGAGACGGCGCGCAATCCCACCGACTCGGACTCGAGGCTCGCGGAACGCGGGCTGCTGGCGCCCAGCGAGGCGCTGCGCGGGGGCCAGCTGGCGGCTCGGCTAGGGCGGCTGCGGGGGCCGGCGGCAGGCGCCGCGGCAGACCCCTGCGACTTTTGGACGTGGTGGTCAGACTGTGCTTGATCCAAGCTATCGGAATGGGTTGACCCTTGACCGTGATAACTTTGCTCTCACTGAGGATGTCAATAGTTCTGCATTTGGACTCTTGCCAATAATTCAGAATTCGTTGGCTTGTGGCGCGCTTTCAGCAGAGCCCTACCACGCTAATGTCTATCTCCCAGGTGGCGTCTTCCATGCACATCGCGACACTCCGGGCATCAACCAGATTGGATCTCTTGTGTTGTCACTTCCGAGCACCTTCTCGGGGGGCACTCTTGTGGTCTCCAGTGAGGCTTGTGGGAATCAAAGTTCACCTTCGCGATTCAGTGGGCACACCAGCGAGGTGTCTGGCGCAGTCGCGATCCCATGGTGTGCGTTTTTCAGCGATTGTAAGCATTGGATTGAGCCGGTGATTACAGGCTGCCGCGTGACCGTCACATATCGCCTGCTCAGCAGCAGCAAGGGGCAGGTGACAGAGAGCAGCTTGACAGCGCCTTGCACTGCAGAGTTGGATGCTGCTGTTAATGGTGTGCGTGAAGCACTTGCTGACCCGTCATTCTTACCTCATGGTGGCCATGTGGGCGTCGCTCTCCAGCGCGGCTACCCAGGTACAGCGTGGCCGGATGAGCTCCATCCTGATACGACGGCGAGCGGAGATGAGTTGGCAGAGGCGGCTACAAGAATGCTCAAAGGATCGGATGCTGTCTTGTTCCAGTCTTTGCGTGGGCTAAGCTTTTCACCCAAAGTATATGCCACAGTTCGTTTCCCTGATGCTGCAGAAACCGATTCAGATTCCGAGGATGAGGAAATGCGTGAACACAGCGGTGCACTCAGACTCTTTGCGTTGGACCCACGCCGCCTGCCGCAAATATGTACAGATCAAATTAATATCAGCGATCTTCAAGATATAGATTTGGTGGTCACGCAGTTGGGTGGCAAGCGGCTCAAGGTTGACGGTTGGGTCGATCTACCTCAAGGAAGCGCCAGCCCAGAGTTATTGGCCAGTGCATTCCAGGAGTATTATGGGAATGAGGAAGGCTCAGTTGAGAGCATTTACATGTCCGCTACACTTGTGGCAACGATTCCACCACATGGTCAACGGTAAAAGGGAGTGGAAGCCAAAACCATGGCTTTGTTCACGAGCAAGTCGACACATAGCCTATGTACATGCGCATGCAAGTGCGGCCAAGTTTGTGAGACGAGAGGGGTGAGTTATTTCTCTTGCTACGCAATGTCATGGCTAAGTCAATATACACTGCTTGAACCGCTCGCATCAGGTGTGATGCCAGTGCGAGAAAAAAAGAAGCGGCCAGTCTAGACGACGCTACAGGCTAACGTCCGCCTGAATAAAGAGGGCGTGGACACCCATCTCTGCCCGACCTTCTGCAAATTACGATAGCGCGTGTTATCTGGTTTTCTCCTTCTCTTTATTTCTCTCGTTCTCTCTCTCGCTCTTTTTTCTCTCTCTCTCTCTCTCTCTCTCTCTCTCTCTCTCTCTCTCTCTATATATATATCTTTCTCTCGCTCTATCGTTCTCTCTCTCTCTCTCTCTCTCTCTAGTTCCCTGCCTCTCTATCTCGCTCTCTCTCTCTCTCTCTTTCTCTCTCTCTCTCTCTCGCTCTCTTTCTCTCCATCTCTCTCTATCTCTTCCTCTCTCTCTTTCTCTCTCTCTCTCTCTCTCTCTCTCTCTCCCTCTCTTTCCCTCTCCCCCCTCGCTTTATTAGTACCCCCATGGATGGTTGTATGTATATGTCTTCATCGTGTGTATTTATGTGTCTGTGTCCTCTTCTTTCCCGCTTGCTTTCTCTCTCTCTCTCTCTCTCTGTCTCTCTCTCTCTCTCTCTCTCTCTCTCTCTCTCTCGCTCTTTATGTATCCCTCGTTCTCTGCATCTCTCTCTCTCTCTCTCTCTCTATCCGCCTCTCCTTTTTATCTCGTTCTCTTTTTGTTGATATCTCTCTCTCTTTCTCTTGCTCTCTCTCTCTCTCTCTCTCCCTCCCTCCCTCCCTCTCTCTCTCTCTCTCCCTCTCCTCTCTGTCTCTGTATATATATATATATATGTGTGTGTGCGTATATCTATATATACTGTGTGACCGTTCTTCGGTTGTTACATGTTATATATTACCCAGCCAATCGTGGATGCCCAGGCACGCGGTCGCACGATGTTCCAGGTATTCTAAATTTGTACTTCCGACGCTGAAACTGTCTACGGCACGGTTGTACAGATGGCTCCATGATAGGCGCCAGAGTTGGAAACGTTCGCCGTTCGCACCCCTGCATACGCTTCGCGGCCCAAAAAACGCCAAAGGGAATGGAGGCAATAAAGGAACGGAAAACGGCTAGGACAGCACGTTGCGATTGGATGCAACACGGAAGCATTGCCATATTCAGTGGGCGCAGTTAATTTTGGGATCAGAGGTTGAGGGGGATGAGCGAAGTGGTCTCACTTGTAAAATCGATATCGTTATCGAATGGGGTCGAGCGTGCAGCGAAGGGGACATTGAGCGAGCACGATGATGTGTTGGCCAAGGGCAGTGCTAAGTCGAGCAAAAATATAGGTTCTCGTCCCGCGGGGGCTCGTCGAAGATGTCCCGTCGGTTGTCACGTGGTTGTCTCGTGGGATATCTTGTCCCGTGGATTGTCCCGCGGTTGTTCCGTGGGTTGTGCCTTGGGATCTCCCATTCTTGCCACGCGGACTGTCCTGCGGTTGTCCCACTGTTATTCCGTGGGTCGTAGATTATCCCGCGGTGACCCCGTGAGTTTTCGCACGGTTGTCTGGCGTTTGTGCCGCAGGTTGTCCCGTACACAGCCGTGACAAAAGTTTCTTAAATCCACGATGGCGAGGATATCCCCCATCCCTCCTCAGATCCCTAACATCATGATCCGTGCGTCATTCGGCGAAGGTTCCGGTCCGCCTGATGCGAATATTTCTGCTACTTAAAACGGAGCGGAAACTATGTGAAATGTTGCACGTGCATGTCTGCAGCAACTTGCACGGACGGCGCCTCGCAGACATCACCGCGCGGAGACTATCCGCCTTTGCATTTTTTTGCTGCCACTGTGTTGCATCGCATTGTGTAGCATAGCATGCTTACTTTGTTTGCTGCCACTGTGTTGCATCGTGGAGCTAAAATTCTCTTGGAGCTAGAATTCGAATTCTCCGGCTGGTCGGCTGGGCCGCCTTTGGGGCCCAAACTCGAATTTTCCGGCCGGTCGGCTGGCCCCCCGTGAGACGTGGGTTTGGGGGTGTAGCACTAGTTCACGTTATGTTGTAATCCTGCATAGCTCCATTTGGCCGGATTGGTGCCGACAGAATGCACCACGCGAATCGCGTGCATGAGCCTGGGGTTACACCGAGGAGCGTGCTTCCGTGCGGCGCCTCCCCAGTGACCCCCCTTCTGAAGGACGTGATGGTGTGGGTGCTGTGGCGTGGTGCATCCCCCAGTTCGGAGGGGCGCCAGGGTGAGTGCTGCCGTGCGGCGCCTCCTTGACGTTTGCCCTCCGTGCTGAGGGGTTGGCTGTTGCCTCTCAGCGCCCCACCCCATGGTCCTCATGGCTCTTCTCTTGCACGGTCTTGGCTCGGACATGGCTAAGCTTGTGTCCGTAGCCCTTGAGGCTCAACGAGGGGCTCTGCACACACGGAGCCAACAGAAAAACTAATTCGATATCTTATCGATCCCACAACCGATCAGCCCGTGTGCCTGGCGCTCCGGCTGTTCACAGGTTAAGAGCCTTGCGCTCCCCAGCGCATGCCACACAAGAGATCCGTCGAGAAGCTGCTCGACGGCGCGCTGAAGCGCCACAAGAAGCTTGACGAGCGCGCCCGTGCGCGCGAGGAGACAGCAGCCGGCGCCCATCGGCTGCTCGAGGAGCACTTGAACGGCGTCCCCGGCGTGGCCGCCCAGGTTGACAGAGGGAGGGTCCTCATCGCCTTGCACAATGCGGCCAACATGGACCAGATCACCGTCTCCAGCGAGGTCGAGGGCGAACCCCTACCCGTCGGCCTCGTCCGCCGGGCGACCTCCACTGCCCCCGCCGCCAGCTTTGGCGCTTCCTCCAGCTCCGGTTCAACTGCAGCGTGATGCCGCGGACCATGGGCATGAGGGAGGAGGAGGACGCGGAGGAGGAGCAGGTGAAGTGCTGCTGCCTTCGCTGGCGGACTTGACGACGATCGTGGCAGCTCCTGCTGTCCTCGCGGCCGCCCCGCCCCAGCATGCAGTTTTGGTGCCACAGCCAGTGGCTCCACCAGGAGGGGTAGCAGGAGGAGGAGGAGGTGCCATAGTGCAGGACCCCGGGGAGGACCTGGACCTCACCATGGAGCTGAGCAGGGTCATCAACTTCGTGGACGCGGAGGCCGAAATGCACAACCGCGTCGTCGTCTACGAGGAGCAGTTCCAGGCCAGGGCGCTGGCCGAGGCTCGGGTGGCGGTCGCCTCCCACGAGGCCGCGCTCGCCGAGCACTTCGCCGAGGACCGGGCCCGCGCGCAGACCGAGGTCGGCAGGGCCTTTGCCGCCGTGCAGGCCCGTGAAGGACAGTTGGTGGCCGAATCCATGGCCATCGCGACCCAGAGCGAGGTGCACTTCAAGGGGCAGGCTAGGGATGAGCTTCGGCAGTACGAGGCGTTCCTGCTGCAGCAGAGCACCCAGGACCAGCATGCGTCTATGAGGAGGTCTGTGCACGAGCTCGAGTTCTACTTCGACGGCATTTTCCGCCAATGGGTGCACGAGATGCAGGAGGAGTACCAGGACCACCACCGTGCCGCGACGGCCGAGATGAAGGCCGAGGGCCATGCGGAACTCTTGAGGGCTGGGGCGCACATCGGCGCCGCGCATCACAGGACACAGGCGGAACTCCGCCTCGAGGTCGCGGAGATCGCCTCTCTGCGAGCGCGCGCGGAGGCAGGCGAACGCGGCTCTTATCGAGCAGCTCGCTACGCATCACGCCGCCACGAGTTGCGTGAAGAGCAGCTTGAGGCCGAGATCGGTGCCGTGAGTGACACCATCCAGACCGAGATGGCCGACCAGGACGCCCTGCTTCGCTGTGAACTCCGTGCGGCCGAAGAGGCAATCGCCTCAACCAGGGCAGAGGCCCGAGAAGAAATCGCCGCCTTCCGCGAGACCACGCAGGCGAGGGTCAATGAGTGGGCAAATTCGCTCGTTCAGCAGGGCGACGCCCGATACCGAACCCTCGCCGAGGCGGAGAACGAGACCGTCGCCGAGCTTCAGGACGTCCAGTCCGAGCTGCAGCAGGTTGTCACGGAGGTGGAGGAGCTCAAGATGGCATCGTCGGCTGCCGGCGAGCGGCGGCCGGGAGTCGCCTGCCACGCTGAGGTCCCAGCTCAGCCTTCATGGGGCGTGGTGCCCACAGCGACGCCGCACATAACCCCCATCGCCATGCCAGCGGCCCCAGGCACGCAGCTGCGCATGCGGCCGCGAAGCGACGGCGCCTCGCCCACAAGCACCATACCGATGACGAGCTTCGGAGGTCCAGAGAGGCTTCCTCAACCAGCGAGCCTGCGGCCCGCCATCTCGCCTAGTCAGGCTGCGGCGGGGATCCAGGCGCAGCCAGTCCAGCAGACCCGCTCGATTGACGGCACGAGCTCCGATGAGTCGTCGGGCGAGGAGTTCGCCCGGAAGCGCACGAAGGTGACGCAGATTGACCTCGGTTCGCCTCCAGCTCCAACTGGTTTACTGGTTTCAGGACATGGCTGAACGAGGCGCACGCGGCATGCACTACTGCATCAAATCGACCTCAGAGGCGTACCATCCGATACCTCAAGTACGCCGAGGAGTTCGACCAGCCAGACATCATGCCGCTGCTGGAGGTCCCGAGGACATGGAAGGCCTTTGACGAGGAGCTATTCGCGGCGGTGTTGCGCTACGCGTCTGGTGAGCTCAAGCGTTCCTTGTTGACCTACCGGGAGCAGTGCTATCGGAGTGGGCGTGAGCCATCTGGGAGGTACGCGTTCTACTGCGCACTCCAGAAGTTCACCCTCAAGCGCGGCACCGCGACCCAGGTCGACATCTCGAAGCTTATGGCGCACGAGTACAAGGGCGACCTCAGCCTCTACTTGGATGGGTTGGACACGATTCTCATGCAGTTGAAGGACCCGCCTGAGGAGACGTTCCTGCACGCTTGCGTGGAGCCGAAGCTGCGGAAGTGCAAGCAGTTGGAGCTCGATTTCAAGCTCTATGACAGGGCGCCCGACGGCGCTGCGGAGAAGACCGTGCAGTGGCTATATGACGTGGCGCGCTCTCATTGCCGTCGCAAGGAGCTGCAGGATATTCGGGATGCTCTCCTCAAGCCCAGCCCGAAGGTCACGCCGATCAAAGGCAAGGGCGACAGCAAGGGCAGGGGCAAGGACGGCCATGAGGACAAGATCAGGAAGCCATGCGACAAAATGGTGACATCTGGCAGCTGCAGCGCCGGCAAGGATTGCCGCTTCGCGCACTCGGGCCCCGAGTTCGACGCAGCCAGAGCCAAGGCCAAAGCGAAGGCGAAGCCGAAGGCTGAGCCCGAGACTACCGCGCACCCGAAGATCCAGGGTGGACCGCCTGCTGGCACAGGATCCGACGGCAGGCCCGCGCGGCCGCCTGGCGACTGCCTGAACCTGAAACGGAACAACACGTGCCGCTTCGGAGACAAATGCGTCTTCCGGCACTTCTCCGAGCCGCCGTCCAGGGGCGACCAGAAGGCGATCGAGATGGGCGAGCCTGCGACGAAGCCGCCGCCTTCCACTCCTCCTACCGTTGCCTCGGCAAACGCCCCAGGAGGGCCGAGGAAACAGATGATCTGCAACGTCAGCCAGTCCGCGTTCGACGAGTGGGCGCTGGACACGGCCGCCGCGCTGGACGTCGCGAATTCGAATGTAAGCGGCGCCAAGGGCGAGAAGCAGATGGCCACAGAGATCTGGCCGCAGGGGGGGTCATCGGATCAAAGGCGACGGTCACAACCACCGTGGACTCTATGGGGGAGACGGTGACTGCCACCGTGTTTCCAGACACGCCGGACGCGCTCGCGGTCGGCCGGAGGTGTGCTGAGATGGGCTTCGGCGTCTATTGGCACCCGTACCAGATGAAGCCAGAGTTCTACAGGCCCGACGGCCAGCAGGTCAGTTGCGACGTCGACGAGCACTACGTTCCCTTCATCCGCTCCCGACGTGGCGGCGACGGTGGTAGCCGCCGAGTTGTGGCGCCGGTCGCCCTTCCAGGAGATGGCGACTCCGGGCCTGCCGAACCTCCCATCGAGCCGGCGCTGGACGAGGCGTCTGCGATCGCGCCGCTCCCAGGAGCAGCGGGGGAGGACTGTCAATCTCTTCTGGCCGACGTGCAGCGGCTTCTCGACGAGGCCGAGCGGACCGAGCACGACCTCGAGGCGGACACCATCGCCGACGAGTCAAGCTTCGCCGTCAAGACCGTCGAGACGAAGGACGAGGAGCAGGAGTATCGCATGCCGTGCCACGACGTCAACTCGGCCGCGCACAAGAGCATGCACCTGCCGCGGCTCAAGGGCTGCCACATTTGCGACGACAGCAAACACCTGCATAGGTACAAGGTGCGGCACAAGGAGCCCATGATTTGGGTCACTGGCAAGGACGCGATCGACAAGCCCTTCGGGGCGATGTGCCACTTGGACTGGCTGGAGATCCGCAGGGGCACCCCAGCCTACAAGACCGCACAGCGCGCCCTCATGCTCACCGACGACTTGACGCAGTTCATGGGCGCGGGACCTTCGAACTCGAAGGAAGCCAGGGTGGTGGTGGAGCTGATTCATCGTTTCGACGAGCTGCCGCCGTTGATTCGCAGGTGGTGGTCCGACCGCGCAGCCGAGTTCTTGGCGGCCGCCCGGATCATCAGGGCCCAGCGGCCTCTTGCCCACTTCACTTCAGTGCCTTATAGGCACGCTCCGAGGGCCGAGCGATCTAATCGCACCGCTTCCGAGGGGACTCGCGCGGCGCTCATCCAGTCTGGCTTCGAGGAGGCTTGGTGGCCCATGGCCCTGCTGTTCTGGATCTCCCAGTGGAACGGCCTCATGGTCGGGGCCGACGGCATGGCCCCCTACTTCCGACGGCACAACCAGAAGGCTCCCTACATGCAGTACGCGTTTGGGGCGCTGGTGCTCTTCCACCCTGTCTGCCTGGTGAAGGAGCAGGGTGCGGAGCCGCTGCACGACAAGCTGCAGTCGCGCTTGGTCCCGGCTGTCCTGGTGGAAGTCACGATTGGTCCGGGGGGGAGGTGGGCCTCGAGCTACGGCGTGATCCCTCTCTCCAGGTTCACCTCCGATCGTCGGCCGGCCAAGGCTGCGATCAGGAGGACGTGCGACGTCGTCTTCCCAGAGGACGCGACCTTCCCGCTCAAGCAGCGCCTCGCGATACACGGAGCGACGGTCGACAAGTCGTTGCCGGCGCCGCAGGCGAAGGAGGGCGAGGAAGGGAACTGGGACATGATGGAGGAGGAGGGGGAGGTTGACGTCGATGCGGAGCACTTCGATGGGAAGTGGAAGGAGAACGCCGCCAAGTTCGAAGAGTCGGTCCCGCTTGGACACGCGCTGGCGCTGGAGCAGGAGGCGGGCGACGAGGACGAGACGAAGCCCGACACAGACGAGTTCATGGTCGAGTTCCCGTCCGTCGACGCCGACCGCCGCGACGCGGAGCAGGCAGCGGAGGACATCAAGCCAGAGATCACCGCCATCGAGGGGGGCAAAGCGCCGCCTGGCTGGAGGGCGGATCGTTTCGGCAGGGGCGACAGAGCACGCCTTGTGCATGTTCCCCCATGGTCTCGACGCCCACCAACTTGTGAACCAGAGGTGCGGTGTGGCATCGGTCGGCGCGCCCAGCGAGATCTTCGTGACGAGTGGAAGGAGAAGGATGCGGAGGGCTTCAACGAGCAGGAGGTGAGACGATCTATGTGGCTTAAGGCGAAAGGGAAAGGGATCATCCACCCAACTGCGCCCATGGTTGCGGTGGCCCGACAGCCAGTCGATGGGGCCCCCGACGGCGCATCAGAGCTGCAGCCAGAGACGGGCGCGAGAGGTGGTGGATGCTCCCAGGATTACATGCACGAGCACCGAGTACCTGCACAGAATGTGGGCGGCAACTCTGCCGAGAGCCTTGTGCAGCAGGTGCGCAACATGGTCATGACGGGCGACTACATGTTCCTGTTGATAGAGTTGGGATGCGCGGACGACAGCGAGCTAGCTGCGAACGTCCGCGAGCACTGCCTTGCCGTTAGGATCACTGCCAAGGTGGACCTCACCAAGAAGAGCACCAAGAAATTGCTGCACGCATTGATCAGGTTTTGTACCCTTTTCGCTGTGGAAGTGCACATTTGGTATCAATTCCTTGCACACGCGGGGTGGTTACAGTGGACGTCGACCTCACGAATGCGTTGATAGCCACGGCCGCTTCGCTGTGCGAGCACGCCGCCAGAAGCCAGAACACGCTCAGTTGGGAGTGGCCGGAGTGCAGCGAGCTGTGGGAGAACGAGGCCGCGAATGGCATGTTATCCCGCCAGGGCGCGGTGAGCGCCCTCGTGGCGTCGGCTGCGGTAGGCATGTCCTTCACCCTCAAGGGCCGGGACGTGTACGTCGACATGAAGTGGAAGATCGCGACGACGCACCCGGGCGTGCCCATTGAGCTGGAGAGGCACGCCGAGATCCCAGATCACATCCCGAAGTCTGCCTTCGTGGAGTGCCAGGGCCGATTCGCAGCCGCCAGCGCGCTGTACACGACGGAGATGGCGATGCTCATCTGGCAGGCGTTGCGGCCTACTGCCCCGCGCGTGGCCCCATGCGTGGTCTCCGATCGTATCTTGGAGCGCGTGCTGCCGCCAGGACCGCCGAACATGCCTTTGTGGTGTTGTCTCATTACGCGCCTGGTCAACATGCGCTCGGAGGAGGCCAAGACCGATAGGGCGAAGCAGGCCATCGACGCGGAGCTTTCTGGACACGATCGACGCGGCACTTGGGATAAGAGCCGGGTCCGGAGCCTCTGAGATTGGATGAGCGATGCCTCATTCAAGGACGTCGTCGTCGGCAGGGTCTTCGTCATCTTAGGATGCAAGAACTCCGAGATGTCTGAGGACCAGTGGAAATACCGTGCACGCGCAGTGTTCCAAGGGAACAACATATGGACGCGGACTGGCAGGAGCGCCTACGAGATCTTCGAGGATGTGTCGAACTCCCCCGCCAGCCTCATAGCGGCGCGCTGCGCCTTCGCGGTCTCGCTGATGAAGCAGATGACTTGCACGTACCGCGACGCGTTCCAAGCGCACCTGCAGGCGACGATGGACACAGGCACGGACCCTGGCGTGATCAACCTCGTGGAGCTTCCGCGCGAGTGGTGGCCCAAGGAGTGGTTCTACGACGAGGCCTGCACCCAGCCGCGATACCATCGCCCAGCTGTTCCTCTACGCGCTCCCGGGCCATCCCAAATCTGGGAACATATGGGAGACGCACACCGACACGGCATTCGTCATCAAGCTCACCGGCTGGAAGAAGGTCGAGGGTTGGCACAGCGTGTGGGTGCACTGCGACGGGAGCATCATGGTGATCTACGTGGACGACTTCATGTTGGCGGCGACGGCAGCGAACGCCAGGAAGCATTGGGAGGAGCTCGGCCGGCACATCGTCTTCCAGGAGCAGTATGCCGACGTCCTCCGGCACTTGGGGGCGATCTACAACTTCGACAAGGTGGACTACCAGGACGATGGTTACGAATCTGAGCAGCTACCTTCTCAATTTGGCCACGAAGTTCACTGGCGAGCACACGGGGGCCCTGAGGAAGGCGACGACTCCATTCCCTCCAGAGACCGAATCGTGGACGCCAGCGGACGACGAGCCAGGGGTTTTCCAGACTTCTGCTTCTTCGTTCGTCGCTTCTGGACGTTATGCTAGTCTGGTCAGCCGCCCGGACCTCAGTGTTGCCATCCAGCGTCTTTGCTCGCGTGTGACAAAATGGTCTGTGACAGATGACGTGTCCCTCATCAGACTCATGGCTTCCATACAGGAGCATCGCGACCTGGAGTTGCGCGGCACCTTAGGGCCGAGCGACCTGGACGACTTGGAGATAGGGCTCTGGCCAGACGCAGATTGGAATGGCGATGCCAATACCACGAGGAGCACGAGCGGTGTATTTTGTGAATTGCATGGCGTGGGATCTGGAAACACGTTGCCTTTGACGTGGAAGGTGTCTCACCAAACGGCCACGGCGAGCAGTTCAGCGGAATCAGAGACGGTCAGCGCATCCAGCGCAGTCAGACACGTCTCCCTTCCAATCCCGACGTTGCTCGAGGCCCTCCTGGGCACGCTGGTGCCGATACGGTGCAGCATCGACAACACGCAGGCGATCGCTGCCATTAAGAAGGACTACAGCAAACGCCTTCGTTGCTTGTCTCGAACACATCGTTGTTCGATCGGGGCCATGAACGAGATCTACGAGGACCCCGAGGCAGCCCTGGACGTGGTGTACGCTCCGACGGCGACTCACAAGGGCGATTTCTTCACCAAAGCCTTGAACCCGACCCCGTTCCAGCAGGCTCGGGCGCGCATAGGTATGAGGCGCAACGCATCTGAAGCTCAGCAGTGATTTGCTTGATGTTGCATTCCCCTCCATTTCCTCTCCTTTTTCTTCCTTCTCGGGCCTGGTACGGCATCGATGCAGCATGTGCGATCATCCCAGAATGGCGGCTGGCCTGGACTACAGGCCCGCCTCGGCTCGCTCCAGTTCTTGTGCGGATCCGAGCCTAATACATGTACACAGCCGAAGTTTTCACGACCAGATGTTCTGCCAACCGACTTGGTTGCACCTCCGCGGCGGTCAGGACTGGCGATTGCCGAGGGGGGTGTGACATGTTGCACGTGCATGTCTGCAGCAACTTGCACGGACGGCGCCTCGCAGACATCACCGCGCGGAGACTATCCGCCTTTGCATTTTTTGGCTGCCACTGTGTTGCATCGAATTGTGTAGCATAGCATGCTTACTTTGTTTGTTGCCACTGTGTTGCATCGTGGAGCTAAAATTCTCTTGGAGCTAGAATTCGAATTCTCTGGCCGGTCGGCTGGGCCGCCTTTGGGTCCCAAACTCGAACTTTCCGGCCGGTCGGCTGGCCCCCCGTGAGACGTGGGTCTGGGGGTGTAGCACTAGTTCACGTTATGTTGTAATCCTGCATAGCTCCATTTGGCCGGATTGGTGCCGACAGAATGCACCACGCGAATCGCGCGCATGAGCCTGGGGGTACACCGAGGAGCGTGCTGCCGCGCGGCGCCTCCCCAGTCACCCCCCTTCTGAAGGACGTGGTGGCGTGGGTGCTGTGGCGTAGTGCCTCCCCCAGTTCGGAGGGGCGCCAGGGTGAGTGCTGCCGTGCGGCGCCTCCTTGACGTTTGCCCTCCGTGCTGAGGGGTTGGCTGCTGCCTCTCAGCGCCCCACCCCATGGTCCTCATGGCTCTTCTCTTGCACGGTCTCGGCTCGGACATGGCTAAGCTTGTGTCCGTAGCCCTTGAGGCTCAACGAGGGGCTCTGCACACACGGAGCCAAAAGAATAACGAATTCGATATCTTATCGATCCCACAACCGATCAGCCCGCGTGCCTGGCGCTCCGGCTGTTCACAAAACTACTCCGCGCCACACCTTATACTGCATTCAGCGGGATGCGCCCGCGCGCGGAGAAGTTGGAGCACCCCTACTCCGAGCTACTCCGCCTTGCTGCGCTTTTGGCGAGGGCAGATTGATAAACATTCTCGTCATGGTGATGGGGAAAGTCGCAAACCGTCCCGTCTTTCATAGGTTCCTCCGATCAATGCCCAGGTCATGACAATGGCGACGGTGATGAAGACGATGGTGGAAATCACATTCAATCCCGTCTTTCATGGGTTCATCCTATAATGCCTGGGCCACATCGACGGCGATGGCGAGAAAGACGATGCTTTTTTGAGCTTACAGGACGAGGAAGATCACCCTGCGGGGCGCGTAAGAAGCGCCAGCTCTTGGGAAAGACGGCCTACGCAGCCAGGGCCATGGGGGGTTCGAAGCTGTCCAAGGTGCAGACGGTGGCGAAGAACGTGGCCGGCAAGTGCCAGAAGGCCTGCAAGCAGGTCGCGGTTCGCATGGGGCCGCGACTGAGAATTTATTTGCGATTACTATTTGCGTGAAATTGGACGCGCACTAAGAATGCATCGCGGGCAAAGGGGCCAAAATTGCATGGGAGAAATCGTAGTCCGTCCCAGTTTTCATGGGTTCATCCGATCAATGCCCAGGTCACGTCGATAGCGACGAAGACGACGGGGGAAATCGCCGTCCGCCCCGCCTTCCAAGGGTTGGTTCATCCGATCAATGCCCGGGCCACGTCGATGGCGATAGCGATGAAGACGATGCGTTTCTGGGCTTCATTACAGGACGAGGAACATTGCCCTGTGGGGCGTTCCTTCCCAGAGCCCCGATATGAACCCAGTAGAGATTTCCTGGGGTTGGCTTCGAAAGAAGCGTCAGACGATGGACTTGGAGAACTTGCGCAGAAAGCGCCGACCCTTGGGCAAGACGGCCTACACCGCCAGGGCCACGGGGTCCTGAAGCCGGCCAAGGCCTGGAGGGCGGCGACGAACGCGTCCGCTAGTTTCTGGAAGGCCTGCAAGGTCGTGGACTGAAATGGGGCCGCAGCATACAATTCGATTTCGAATGCGATTTGCCTGAACCTAAATGTGCAGCGAAACTGCATCGCGGGAGAAAAAGAGGCCAACATTGCACGCAGCCGTGACAAAAACTTAATCCATTCATAATAGCGAAAATATGCCCCATCCATTTAAAGATTCCAGACGTCACGATGCGCGCGTCATTCGGCAGAGTGCTTTCCGATCCGATTGATGCTCATAGTTGTGCTACCTTAGAAAAAGCGGAAACTATGCCGCCCCTGCGTTGAGCGGGATGCGCCCGCGCGCGGAGAAGTTGGAGTAGTCTTACCCCGCAGAATTCCACCAGACTGCGTTATTGGCGAAGGCAGATTGGTAGAAACTTCCGTCGCGGTCACGCATGTTGTCTCGCGTTTGCTGCGCGGGTTGTCCCGCAGGTTGTCCCGCGCATTGGTTCATGGGAGATGCAGGTCGAAATATATTGTCGCGCGCAACCTGCACGTATGTCGAAGTGCAAATGAAGTTGCCAGCCAGAGCGCTGGTCATAATCCAAATCGAATTGCAAATCGAATTGCTAACGACATGCAAATCTACATGCAAATCGAGGCGCGGTCGAAATGTAGATAGGCATGCAAATCCAATTGAAACATGGGGGTTGTGAATCTATATGAAATCCATGTGAAATCGGAATCCCAATCGACTTGCGCATTCCCCACACACACACACACACACACACACCACCCGCCCACCCGCAGCCCAAGAATCAAGTATCCAGGCGTTGGACCCAACCATATGCAGTTGCGAGTACCGCAATTGATGGGGCCACGAAGCGCTGCACTGGGCGGGGGGGGACGCATCCAGGCGGCAGCACTGGTGCCGTCGGCGGAGCTCCGCATAGGGCCACGAAGCGCTGTGCTGGGCGGGGGGGGGCGCATGCGGGCTGTAGCACTGGGGCCGTCAGCGCGGCTCCCTATGGGGTCACGAAACGCCGCGCTGAGCGGGGGGAAGGCGCATGCGGGCAGTAGCACTGGAACCGTTTGTGGAGTTCCCCATGGGGCCACGAAGCGCCGCACTGGGTGGATGAGGACGCATGCGAGCGATAGTGCTGCGACCTTCTCTGGGGCTCCGCACGAGGCCACGAAACGCTGCATTGGGCGGGGGGGAGGGGGGGGAGCGCATGCTGGCGGCATCAGAGGGGTCGTCGGCGGAACTCCTTATGGGAACACCAAACGCTGCGCTGGGTAGGGGGTGCGCATGCGGGCGGTAGCAGTGGGGCCGTCGGTGGAACTCCCGATGGGGCCACCGAACGCTGTGTTGGGCGGGGGGGGCGCATGCAGGCGGCAACACTGGGACCTTCGATGGAGCTCCCCATGGGGCCACGAAATGCTGCACCGGGTGGGTGGGGGGCACACGCGGGCGGTAGCGCTGGAACTTTCGGTAAAGCTCCTTAGGGGGCCACGAAGCGCTGTACTGTGTGGGGGAGACGCATGCGGGCGGTAGCGGTGGGACCACTTTCGCTGGAGCTCCCCATGGGGCCTCGCAACGCTGCACTGGGTGCGGGGGGGGGGCGGCGCATGCGGGCGGTAGCAGAAGGGCCGTCGGTGGAGCACCCTATGAGACTACGAAGCGCTGTGCTGGGTAGGGGGGGCGCATGCGGGCGGTAGCACTGGGAAAGTCGGTGGAGCTCCTCCCCGAAACGATGTACTGGGTGGGGGGGGGGGGGGGGGGCACGTGGGCGGTAGCACTGGGGCCGTCGGTGGAGCTCCCTATGGGGCCACGAAGCGCTGTACTGGATGGGGGAGACGCATGCGGGCGGTAGCGCTGGGACTTTCGGTGGAGCTCCCCACGGGGCCACGAAACGCTGCATTGGGAGGGGGGGGGGGGCGCATGCGGGCGGTAGCAGTGGGGCCGTCAGTGGAGCTCCCTATGGGGCCACGAAGCGCTGCACCCGGTGGGGGGGCGCATGCGGGCGGTAGCAGTGGGGCTGTCGGTGGGGTTCCCTGTGGGGCCACGAAACGGTGCATTGGGTGGGTGGGACGCATGCGGGCGGTAGCACTGGGACTTTCGGTGGAGCTCCCTATGGGGCCACGAAACGTGTGAGGGGTGCGCTGAAACGGGTGATGATGATGATGATGATGATGATGATGATGATGATGATGATGATGATGATGATGATGATGATGATGATGATGATGATGATGATGATGATGATGATGATAATGATAATGATGATGAGAGGAGGGGGGGCAGCGGGAGGAACGCGAGGACCGTCTCTGCAAAACGATGACCCAACACCACAGTAAGGTTGGGAACTCTGTCATCCGAAAGGTGGTTTGCGAGGGCATTACTCATGTGGTCACCCGTTCCCTGCTGTTTTCTCTTGCGCGCTCTCCTTCCCGGCCCCGTTCGCAGGTTCCGCGTTCCTTGCTCGAGTTCCTGCCTTTTCCTGTTTCCCCCCTTCTTTCGTTCTCGCCCGTTCTCTTTCGTCGTCCGCCCCTGCCGCTCCCGCCGCCGTCTCTCCTGGTGTTTCTTTCCTCGTCGCCTGCCACTTGGCCCAGCCTCGCCGCTTGCTCCCCAAAGAATGTGACCGCTGTGGTGTGTGTGTGTATGGCGAGCGGCGTTGGTCCATCTTGACTCGTTGACCGCAAGTCGTCGGAGCGCCGGAGGTAGACAAGTGTGTGCGCGCGTGGCAGCGGCACAGCAGCAGAGGAGGGCGGAGGAGCCAGAGCGCCCCGCTCCTCCTCGTCCCCCTATTCCTCCTATTCCTCCTCCCCCTCCTACTCCTCCATCTTCCCTCCTCCTCCTCCTCCTCCACCTCCTCCTCCTCCTCCTCTTCCTCCTTCTTTTCCTCCCTTTCTTCCTCCTCCGCCTCCGCCTCCTCCTCCTCATCATCATCATCCTCATCCTCCGCCTCCTCCTAAGGAGAGACAGAGAGAGAGAGAGAAAGAGAAAGAGAAAGAGAAAAAAAACAGGGGCCAGGAAAACAGTTGCCAGGGCGGCGAGGAAAGAGGAACACGCGCCGAAAGCGGCCACAGACGGAGGCAGCGGCGGCGAGGGCGAGAAAGAGAGAGAGAGAGAGGAAACAAAAAAAAACGAGACAGATAGAGAGAGAGCGGACGGGCGAAGGCGGGGTGCCACGACAGGCAGCAGCGACGGCCAGCAGCGGGAACGGAGGGGCGAGGAGTTGACGGCGCCCCCACGGGCCTCCGCCCAGCCCGCAGGCGGCCGCCATCGACGGCTGGGCCGGGGCCCGGCCAGGGGACAGGGGAGCGGCTCGCGGCGCAGACGTCCCCTCCAACGCAGCCCAAGGCGGCCCCGCTGCCGAGGGGGGAGGGCGCAGCGGAGGCCAGCCACGCGCAGAGGGGGGCAGGGGGAGGGGGAAGGCTTCTTAGAAGCACCCCTGCTTCTTAGAAGGCGCGGGCCTCATCACAGATGCGAGGCCGGCGCCTTCTAAGAAGCAGCCTCTTTCTAAGAAGCCTTCCCCCCTCCCCCTACCCCCCTCTGCGCGCCGCCAAGGAGGTCCTGGGAGAAAGCTGCGTCTTGCATCGAGCAGCGCGGCCCACGCGGGCCAAGGCAAGGAGGCACCTCGCGCGGCACGGGGGCGCAAGGAGGAGCGCGCTAGCGCGCCAGACGCTCAGAATAGAGAGAGCCCAGACAGCAGGATCTCTACTGCCGAAGACCCTCCCAGCCCCACCTGCCCTCATTATGTCAGGGAGCGACGGCACACCCTCTCTCTCTCTCTCTCTCTCTCCCTCCCTCTCCCTCACACACACACACGCACACACACACACACACACACACACACGCACACACATATACACAAACACACACACACACACACACACACACGCACACATGCACAGAAACACACACACACAAACAAACAAACAAACAAACAAACAAACAAACAAACAAACAAACAAACATCGCCGCCGCCTTTCTTTGGTGAACGAATGCCGATGCCGCGGCCGTTATGCGGTGGGCAAGGCGGTGGTCGCGGTGGTGGTGGACGTCGCGGCGGAAAAAGCAGTGGCGATTGTTGTTCTTGATTGTTGCGTGTTGCGTCTACTGATGGTCCAGGTAGCCGGTAGCCCGCTTGCCTTTCAAGTGCGGTCCACAGGGTGGTTGTTCGTTTCTCATTCGGGGCGGGCCTCGCGCGGTTGATTTCTTGGCTTCAGCTCGCCGACGTCATGGCAGACCTCCTTGCGATAAAGATGAGCGGTAGACATCATAGAGCGAGTTACCCTGAACAGGATTAGTAGGAGGGATTTTCCTTCAGGGCCAGTCGGGGTAGGCAGCAGGTTTAGTCGGGGTTGGCCTGACAGTCGGCCAGGGTGGTTATTCGACCGGCTGTGATCTTCTACAAGGTGTGATTGAACCATTTTTTCTTGACATCGCAAAGACAGTTGCCGATGCCAGATCCAACTCGAGGTTGAGCAGGAAGCGGAGGAGGAGGAGGAGGAGAACAAGTCGCCACCTCAAGCAGGGAGGATCCTGACGACCACGGCAGGCCCCAGCGGCCCGAATGAACGCCGGGGCCCCGAGGAGCGGGGGCAGCTGCGGGATAGGGGGCCACCGCCGTTTCTGTCTGGGCCTCTTGAGCCGCTCGGCGCAGGGTAGAGTGCTCGTGCTGTGGATGTTCACTTCAGAGGCGACGACGGGGGCGAATAGCCCAAGGGAGAGCAATACAAGTATTCAGTGGCACCGATGATCTATGTCTTCGACAAGGCTCCCAGACGAAAAAGTGCAATGCCCGCCCATGGGCTATTCGCCCTTATCGTCGCCGCCGACCACTGCAGGTCTTTACAACCCGTTGAGTCTGCCGCCATGGAAGGCGGAGCTGGTGTCGGAGGCGATGAAGCATTTCGACCTGCTCGTGCCGCCAGGGGCCCCGTAGAGGGCGGACCCGGAGATTGCCGTCACAGCGATTCGCACGAGTAGCCACGCGACGATCAATTGGGGCTGGCGGCGGGGAATACTTACCAACAAAAGCTGCGGTATCACGACGACGGTGGGCCACAGTATCCATAAGAAGAATATTCGACTGATATACATTCCTCCGCCGTCGCTGGGCGTCACAGGCAGAGTTGGAGGATTGAAGATAGCGGCGGCCAGCAGGCCCCTGATGATTTTCGGAGTGTACGTGTCCCCGTCGGGGACGTACGATGAGAGACACGTGGCGACGACGCGCATTCTGGGATGGATTACAGACCTACGGCAGCAGGTTGGGAACATATACCTGTTGTTGGTCAAGGGTGACTTCAACGAAGGATACGACATGAATGACGAGGTTGCTGGCAGATACGGACGCCATCGCGCCCCCAGACACGCACCGACTCTGAGGTGGTGGGCGGACACGAAGTTTCTCACAGCAGCCAACACCCACTTCAGACTCCTTGCCATCTGCCATGGCGAGACGAGTCAGAGCTGGATTGATCACGTTTTCACCGCAGTGACGGCTCTACCTTTCGTGGGGATGCGGCCCGACCCGATGCGCATTGCGCCTCCATTCCCGTGCGCAGAGTCGATGGGGCCACTTCCCGATGGAGTTCGCCATCGCTTACCGCATGGTGCATCAAGTTGCAGTAGGGCCCGCAGCCAGGATTGACAGAGACACCTTGGTGAGGCGCTTGACGAAGGGCTGGCGACGACGCGAGTTTTGCGAGAGGGCGGAGGCTCTCCTCGAGAGCATCATGGGCGACTGGCACGAGAGCACGCATCAGAAGCTGACGACGGCCATCAGGACAGCGGCCCCGGATGCGTTTCCACCACACTTGCAGGTCGGACACGCATACGACCACCTACGAGACGAACGCGCACGCGCCCTGGAGGAGAGGGCCCGCGCTGCAAACAAGGCAGGCGAACTGCGTCGACGAAGAGGCACAAGTCCCGCGCTCGCCCCTGCGGCGAGGGGCGCTGCCACGGGCTCTGTCGCATCGCGTTTTGCACGGAGGACGGCAGTGGACGCATTGCAGGTGACGGCCCCCGCCCAGCACGCAAATCCCGAGCCAGTCCCTCGCGAGAGGGGCGCAGCCCCGGGTTCAGTCGCATCGCGTTCTGCCGGGAAGGTCGGGGACATAGACGGCCGCGCGGACGCCGCGCAGGACGCGGTCGCCACGGGGCAGGCGCGGCCCGAGATCGCGGAGGCCAGGCTCCGCAGACTCACTGGAGAATGAAAGATGCGTCGCAAGCGCCATCAGCAGCAGATGTTCCCGGGGCGCATCGAGGATCTGAAGGGGGCATGGAGGGCGCGCGACTTCTCCAGGGCGCACTCTCTGCGCGGGCGTATTGATCGCGATTTGCTCAACCCCGATGGAGAAGATGGAAGGCGTCGGCTTGGGCCCGGGGCACGTGGACTAGGAGCCGATCCAGATGAAGAACTTCGATCCTTGCTTGTGGGGCTTGCTGAAGGACGCGAGGGCCAGGAAGACGTTCGCGCCGCCTGGGAGGCGCGCTCGCGCTACGGGCCTGGACAGAGGCAACGGCAGGAGCGACCTTTAGGGCCAGAGAGTTGTCCATCTGCACGATCACACGTCGCAGGCACGGCGCAGCGGACGACGGAGAAGGCAGCTCCCAGGGGAGTGGCCAGAGCGGGCGCACGGGAGCCTGCCTCACCGCAGCAGAGAGGCAGCATTACACGCATTACAGCCAGGCTGCCGGCTGCTGCGCGACGCCAACACACCGGTGGCACAGCAGTACTGGGACGCCGCGGGCGCGTTCAACACCATCAGATGGGAACATTAGCGCGCGCGCACGTGGGCGATTACAGGGAGACGACATGCCGCACTTCGCGCAGCTGCTTGGCGATCTCAGCGTCTCGGCCGTGGCCCCCGATGGCACGATCGAGTTCACGCCGACCGAGGGGGGGGGGGGGGCGCGGGCAGCAGCATCGCGCCGCGGGGCTTCGTCGCGACGCACTCCGCGACAGTGGGCGAGACGTTCGAAGAGCTGAAGCAGCAGGAGGACAGCTACAGGTGGCTCGAGACGAAAATCCCTGACCGAGGCTACGAGGCCTTCGACCTCGGGGCTGCGGTCTTCGTGGACGACATCACCAGACTCGCGCCGATTCCCACCAGCGCAACGGACCAGGACATCATAGTCAGGCTCAACAGGGCGACGGGGGCGATGAACACAGCGGCGCACGCCCACGGGGGTGGACTCAACGAAGAGGAGACGGCGCGCACGCTCGGGCTTCGCGGGCACGGAGCGACGACGACAGCTACGAGGAAAGCGCCTTATTCCAAGGACTTGAAGGGCGCAGTGGGACGGAGCGCGCGTCGGTTGGGCCCCATCATCGCTCCAGACTTATGCACGACGAGATCAGGTCGCGCATCCTGTCGGCGATGAGGGGACGGTACAACGTGGGCTCCACGCGGTTCCACGAGTTGCAGCTGGGGTGCGCCAGATTGCAGTGCATCAGCTACGTCTACGAGGCTGCTCTCTCGTCGTCAAGCGTGCCCCTCGTGGCGCCCAGCCAGGTCGAATGGCTCGCCACTACGCTTACGAGGCTACTTCGATCGCTGCTGGGCGACAGGTTAACCGAGTGGAAGAATGGCAGAAGTGCCAGGACGCTCACAAACGATTAGATACGCTAGCCAATCCCGCGGTCGAACTACGCGCACGACGCCGTCAGTTTTTCCAGGGGATGGCCAAGTACCCCGGCGCACATCAGCAGGCGATTGCGGCTGTTTTGGGCGGGCCAGGTCGATGAGGAGATGGGTGGGCATCAAGCGATTCCGAGCTCGACGCCACGGCGCCGGCAATTCGCGGAGGACTTCAAGGAGATGGGGAAGCTTAGCGGGGACTGCCACGAGCTGCGGGAAGAGATAGCGGAGGCGCCTGGAGGCCTCCTGGATCTGTTCTTCGAGGGCGACCTGAACGACAAGTTCGCGATGCTGGATTTGAGGGCGCTGCGCACGGCGGCCTTTGCCGCGCAGATCCCACCACCCGAATTCAATGGGCCCGCTGGCTCTGACGCTGCAGAGCTGCACGGCCTGCTCGAGGCCCCGCCCACAGAGTGCGCTTGCAACGAGGACGTTGACGGCTCTGCGCGTGGAAATTCCGTTTCATCGTTCGCTGTTATTCAGACCCATTGTTGCGTCGCGCACGGGGTCCAACGAGGCTTCGCAGGTGGGTAGTTACGAATGTGTGCCCCTGGCGTCGGAGCTGTTTCCCGTCAGCGGAGGGTGCAGCGCAGCATGTATCCAGGGTTGCAGGGGGATGGGTATCGAGGGGAGCTCAGAGAAGACGGATAATGCGCATGGTTGATCCCTCCGCCCCTTCCTTCCCCCCGCCCTCCTTCCCTATGCCCCTCCTTTTCTCCGCCCCTCCCTCCCTCCGCCCCTCCTTCCCTCCGCCCCTCCTTCCTCCTCCTGACAATCAATCGTCCCCCACCCTTCTGTTGCGCAAGAGCCGCCCGACAGCCACCCTCACTGCCTCCTCCTCAAGTCCTACCTGCTCGCAACCTTGCCCCATCTCAAGCCCTCCCTCTCCTCAGTCCCTCATCACCTCATTCCCGCACTCTCCTCGTTCCCCCCGTTACCCTCGCTACCCTCCTTTCCTCGTGCCCTCCTTCCCCTCTCAGCCCCTGCTCATCCTCTCGCTCCCTTCGCCCCGAGCCCTTTTCAAGCCCTCCCCCCCTCCCTCCCTCCGCCCCTCCCTCCGCAAGTCGTCCCCCGCCGCGGGCACTCCCCGCAGGCGCCGCCGCGCCGACGGCGCGATGCTCGGGCGCTCGCGCGAGCTGATGGCGCGGTGGCCCAGGCCGGGTTTGGCGGCAAGCCAGCGGGCGGGAGTAGACGGTCGCTCTCGCGGCCTCACACTTGCCTCATGTCGTCTCACTTTTTGTCATCCCCTACCCCCGCGTCCTCCTCGTCGTCCTCCTTTTCCTCTCCTCCTCATCGTCCTCTTCCTCCTCCTGCTCCTCTTCGTCATGCTCCTCCTCCTTCTCCTCCTCCTCCTGCTCCTCGTCCTCACTCCCTTCCTCGTTTTCCTTCGGCTTCTTCCACCTCGCTCCTCGATGTTCTCCCCCCTGCCCGCTGCCGTCCTCGTGCTCGTTTTCGTCATCCGCCTCCTCCTCCTTCTCCTCCTCCTCCTCCTCCTCCTCCTTCTCCTTCCCCTTCTCCTTCTCCTCCTCATCATCCTCCATCGCTTGTTCTTCCTTGGGGGAGGAGGAGAGGGCGATTAGAAAGGCGGGGAGGTACTGCTTGTGGGATGAGCGTCCCGAGGATGGCGAGGAGAAGACGGAGGGGAATCAGATCCTCGAGGACAAGGGCGAGCAGGCCGAGGACAAGGATGACGACGACGGGAGAGGTGCAGGGGAGGAGGAGGAGGGAAGAGGAAAAGAAGGGGAGGATGTGGAGGAGGAGGAGGAGGAGGAGGAGGAGGAGGAGCAGCAGCAGGCGGAGATGAAAGGGGCCCGGGTCACGGAGCTCCTCCCCCCTAGGGAGGCTAACCAACGTCGCGGTCTCCGCTGGGCTGAGCGGCGTTGCGGACGCCAATTGCCAGGCGTGTTCATCATCGCCGCCGCCACTCGTCGTCATCAACATCATCATCATCATCATCATCATCATCATCATCATCATCATCATCATCACCATCACCATCACCATCACCATCACCATCACCATCACCATCATCAGCAGCAGCAGCACCATCATCATCATCATCATCAGCATCATCATCAACATCATCGTCAACATCATCATCATCAACATCATCATCATCATCGTCGTCGTCGTCGTTATCATCATCATCGGCAGCAGCATCATCATCTGAAGTAGCATAATCTTCATCAGCATCATCATCCTCGGCATCATCATCGGCATCAGCATCAGCATCATCATCATCGTCGTCATCGTTATCGTAATCATCGTCATCGTCATCATCGTCGTCGTCAGCATCATCATCAGCAACAGCATCATCAACAGCATCAGCATCAGTAGCAGCATCATCATCGTCGTCATCGTCATCGCCATCGTCATGACCATCATCAACAACAACAGCATCAGCGTCAGCATCAGCATCAGCATCACCACCATCAGCATAAGCAGCAGCATCAGCATCATCATCCTGAACACCAGAACCACCGTAATTATCATCATCATCATCACCACCACCATCATGAGCCACATCATCCCCAATAGCATCATCATCATCATCAGCAGCAGCATCATCAGCATCATCATTAGCATCATCATCAACATCATATTCAGAAGCATCATCTTCAGTATCATCATCGACATCGGCATCGCCAGTATCATCAACATCATCATCATCATCATCATCATCATCATCATCATCATCATCATCATGTTCATATTCAGCTTAATATCTTGTATTTCAAGATTATAATTTGGTCCAGACCGCAACCAGTACGTCCTCAAATGGACGCGCATAGCCAGCCTTGCACGCGACGACGCAGACCTTGCAGAATTCGGCGATGATGGTCGGTGGGGCAGCGACGTGCTTAAACTTGATGGCGACCAGCTTGAGGCGTTTGGGCGTGCAGCGAGCCGTGTCGGCGTGAGGAGCCGCATCATCATGCGGATGAGCAGCGACAGCAGGAGGATGACCCACGCTAGCATAGGGTTCCCCGTAGGATCCGCGTCAGCACCCGCGTCAGCCCCAGCGCGTGGACGCTCCGCGACGGAAGGAGTAAGTCGGGCGTGTTCCTCCACAGGAGGAACATTCGAAAATAATGAGAAATATGATTGGAACGATGTCTGCCCAATGAAAAAAATATGATTGGAATGATAATGAAAAAATGTAAAGTATTGCTGATGATTTCTTGCCCATGGTTTGACTCTTTCTTCCAACTCGTCCAAAATCCGCCTGCAGGAGGACACGCCCGACCTGACAGTAGGAGGACCCGCCATTGCACAGGGCCCCGAGTCCGCGAGAGGTTCCGCGCCGGCGAGGAGAGGAGCCGCAGCCAGCGCGGCGATGCCGGGCAGCCGGCGGAGGCTCCGCGCCAGCGCGGGGACCCGCCCGGGGAGCTCGGTGCGGCAGCGAGCGAGGGGGGGGAAGCGAGAACCGAAGGAGCAAAGACGCCGTGGACATAAACTTCTGGCGCTCCGCGCGGACTTCTTGGATCCGCGCGGGGACCCCCGCTGGCCGCGCGGAGCGCCACAAGTCTATGTCTATGGCGTTTTTCTCTCTTCTAGGGTTTTATGATGTTCCAACCTGCTTTAAGCCTTGATCACCAGAAAGGATGTCGGGCGCCAGAAAAGGTGCCGAAACTCGAGGGTTTTCGCGTGTCGGGCCCTGGGAGACACTCGCCCAACACTGTTTCGACACTCTTCCGACACTCTTTTAACACTTTTCTGGGTGCTCGAAATTATTTCTGGGATGCGGTCCTTAAGTAGGATGGAAACAACATAATTCATGGGAAGCGGCGGGGCTGCTCGGAGTGCCCCCCCCGTCCTTCCGAGAATGTTCTGCGTCTTCGTTGAAGGCTCGGTAGGTCTCTCGGAAGGCCCGGGTGCTTCCGAGCCTTATAAGGAGGCACGCCCCTCCTTACTTCCCCCCCAGGCTCGCCGCCAATTGATGGTGAGGATAAGGGTCACGATCACGGCGGCGACTTTGCGAGAGGCGCGGCATTGCCGTGAGTTCTTAACAAGAGGTTCAGCGTGGAGACCGCAAGGATCCACGAGAGCAGGATGATCCGCGCGGGGATCTCCATACGCGATGACTTGAAGATCTCCTGCTCGATCTTGTCGCATGCGATCTTCTGCACCCGGGTGCTTGGGGCGCCGACACCGACCCATGCGGAATGAAATGGGTAGGTTCTGTCCCTGCGGATGGCGATGACAGCTGTGCACATGGCCAGGCGTAGTTCGCGGAGCAGAGTGCGCGCGTTGTTCAGCTGGCTCGTCGAAGAAGTCGTCGACGATGAATTGGTGCGTGAATTCGGCGAGCGGGTCCGTGACCAGGGACTCGGGGTGCGCAGAGTGCAGGGCGTTGAAGAGCGAGATCTCCGTCTTCGCGTGCAGCAGGCGTTGCGCAGGGTGTCGAGGAGCCAGTCGCTGTGGAGCGCTGCGTCGCGAGAGCGGCGACAGTGCCCATGAAATGCAAGTGTTCGGCAGTCAGGTTGAGAAGGACGGTGTGCAGGGTGGCATCTGGCCGGCGCCCACGCGACCGCAGCAGCCGCCATCACCAGGAGATATGAGTAGGACTCCTCTCGCTTCGCGGGGTGCACGTCCGGAACACGTACAGTCACGTCGTCGCGGAGCCTCTTGGGAGCCTTTTGGGGGCCTCCTGGCGGCCTCCTGGGAGCTTCCTTGGGCCTCTTGGTGACTTCTTTGGGGCCTCTCCCCCCTCCCTCCTTTTCATACTACCTCCCCATATTTCCCTCCTCCGAGGAGGACGCCCCGTCCTCGATCCAGAGGCTGTCGCTCCAGCAGCCGAGCCTCGCAGCAGAGGCGCCAGAGCAATCCTGAGCCTCCTCTCCGCCAAGCGGAGCTTCGCCGAGGTCGGGCGGGTCCGCGCGAGGGTGGCTCTCAGCTGCTTGCCCGCACTGCCTGCGGATCCACGAGCTCGCACGGTGGTTCCTCCTCTTGGCATCGCATCGCTCGAACGTGTGCATGTTTCCTTCGGCGAGGACCATCGCGGAGCATCCTTGATCACTTGGCGAAAAAAACACGCACGAAACCGAAAAAAAACACAGGGAAGGGACGTGCGCGCGATGGCGAGTCCTGGTGGATGCGTCGACCCTCACCGCGGACGCTGCGATTGGGTGCAGCGGGACGTCACGGACGTCACAGTCAACGGCAAGTGGCACATGATAAGACGCACACCGTGCACATCCTCCACAATTGTAGCACCAACAGCTACATCGTCGTTCTCGGCTTCTCGCCGTGCTGAGTAGCCATGAACTGCCACCGCTGCTGATGATGACGCCTCCACTTGTTACGGACATCAGCAAGAGCATCAGCTCCAGCTCCGCTTCGGGATCGTTGAGGCCCCGCCTGCACCTGTCTTCCAGATCCCCCAGGGCCGTTGCACAGTATCTTCATCAGCTTGTGGAGCAACAGCATCCATGCAAGTGTGAGCCCGCTTGCTTGCGGCCTCACCGTTCCTTGCTTCAACTGTTTGATGAAAGTGGGTGTCTCGCAGACGCGGAGCGCGCTGCGCGTAGGTCCTGGACGTTGGCACGCCTATCCCGGGAGGCTTCGTTTCATGTCTCTTCGGCGCGACGGCGCGGCGCGCTGCCCGCACAGCGTCCGCAACACCCAGGGCGGCCGCGCAGCGGCATTCCGGGCCTCCGTCCCGGCGGCCGACGGGGAGCTCGAGAAGTTGACGCGGCACGAGAGCCCCAAACATGATCGCGTCGTAAGACAGTCAGGACGGCGGGTTTTCGGCCTCGTGGGGCCCTCGCTGGGCCTCGGGACCGTCGAAAAACGACCCAGGATGAAAAACCCGTCCCGGGGAAAGGGTCGGGACTTCCTGGGACGCCGTCCTGAAAAATCAGGACGTCGCATGTCCAGGGCCAGGTCTCGGCCATCTCTTGTGACACCTGCAACAGGCCGGGCGCTGCCAGCCAGGCGAACCTTTGTCACGCGGCTGGCTCCGCAGCCTCGCGACGCGGCGGCGTGGGCCGCAGCGGCGGAGGGTCGCATGCGCTGCGGCGGCCGGCGCTGGAGCGGGCCCTGACAGCCACCATTGCCACATCACCCTACTCTTAAGTCGTGCATGTCCCTCTACAGGAGGAATATTCAAAATAGTTCAAACATGGTCTATTGACGATTTTTATATTTTTTCTTACTTGTTTGAGCATTGCTTGACTATGTCTCATTTTTCCTTCCAAAACTGCATGTAGGGGGACATGCCCGACCTAACCCTGCTCTCCGCCTGGGCCACTCGCCTGGCCTGATGGCGCTGCAAGCCCAGCGAGGGTGGCTGGCAGGCACACTGGAGCTGGCAGGGAGCGGGCGTTTTTACGACGCGTGATTCGCATGATTGGGTCATCTCGTCCAACTGTTGCTGACCAGCATCGATGTCGAACAGCACGATTGCGGAGTCGTCGTTGCCCAGCGAATCGCACTTTGCAGCGTGCTCCAGCTCCACCACGTTCTCGAGCATGGACCGCCCTTGGATGAAGCCAGGTTGGTCCTCGGTGATGGTCGGGCCCAAGAGTGGTCCCCACCTGATGCGGAGGGCGTTGGCGATGAGACGGTTGTCCGCATTGGTGGACGACGAATGCCTAGGATTGGCGGCTGCATAGACCTGGTCGCCAGTTTCCGTGTTGTGGGATGCTTGTGGTCGTAAGCGGCACATCATGGACTCGTTGAACACCGCGTGCTTGGGGACTTTTGATTGCAGGCGTAAGTCGGGCACGTCCCCCCACAGAAGGAAAAGTCAAAAAAAGATTCAGAACATAGTTTGGATACGACTTCTCTATCATATTTGATATGGTTTGAGCAGTGTTTGCCTATGTGCTCACTGTTCCTCCAAAATCCGCCTGTATGAGGACATGCCCGACCTAATTCTAGGCTTAAGTCGGGCGT